TTCTATTTCATTGTGTTCCATCATGTTGACTGCTGCGAAGAGCTGGCGTCCAAAATATTCACTGAGGCCAGTCACCCTCTGCATTGTGCATTGTCGGAATGTATCTAAACATCTTCAACCGGTACGTCAGGTGTTCCTCATTTGTCACGTTTTCTGAGGGATCAAGATGTAGTCAGACAAGAAATTATTGCCAGATCGAATGGATGATATCGCCACTACCACAGGTTTAAGCTGGTGGCGCCCCATATACATTTGTCATATCTGTACTTGCTTGTATTTGTGCCCTTAGCGTCCGTTGTAGCGGAATATTCACTCTTCATGGGTGCATAAAGCGCATTGTTGGCTTGACTTGCCATCCCATTCTTTGTAGCTTGTACACTGTACGTTGGATCCAGCTGCCTACACCTCTACCATTCCGTAGTTCGCACGTCCCTTATGTATCACGGTTACCGAGTAGGATCCCAGGCGCCACCCAACAAGAGCCATCTGGAGCGGAGTGATAAGATACTAATACTTTACGACTATGCATGTTTTGTGGAATATCCACAAGAACATAGTGACTACGACATACTAACATAATTTATGAAGATGCAAACTGGGAATTTTCGGACCACTGTTCCCTTGATACTGCCTGGACGGAGTCTGCTAGCAAGTTTGGTGATCTGATTAAATCCGCATGGGTAAACAGGTCCTTCGTTCTGCAAGAGCATCAACATCATTCGGAACAGAACCTTAAAAGATATGACAGTAAGCTACGCTGCGTGGCATGTGTATAGAGCGAATCCTAGCTCTGGCAACTGGAGTGACTATTTAGTGCACCGTAATCACTGTATCACACAATTGTCCGTGAGGACAACTTAGTACACCAGCAAATATTAGCAAAAAGATTTTGTGCTAACAACAAGATTTTGCCAAAACATGTAAACAGTTTCAAGAATATGAAACGCGATGCACTCAAACCGCCGACGTGCTGCAGCTACTTAAGGCACAAATATTTAGACGCGCCAACAGTATGTGTCTCATACTTGTCCCATTCCCCAAGACACAAGTATTTACCCATGCCAGTTTTAATTCAGCGACCGTTATGAGGAAGCTGTTATCATTGCGCACCCATACTTCCCCCGGAGTTGATAACATTCCCCCGAAACCACTGCAGTTGGCAGCTGAGAGATGGGCCATTAACTCGATTTTTCCAAAGATACCTGGATGAACCACAGGTCCCGAACAAGTGGAAGCCGGATACCACTGCCCCAATTTGTAAAGGTAATAACCGTTTAGATCCAATCAACTACCGCCCAGTAGTTCGCCTCCTTGTGCTCTCAAAGGTGATGGAGTAAATCTTAGCTGAGGTACTGACGGGCTACCTCGCAAGGTCTAACATCATAGCAACGGAGAAACACAGATTGTGTCCGCATCGGCCATATACCACCAATCTACTAATTGTGCGTGGCAGTTGAACCGAAATAGCCGATAGTGGGACGGACACTGATGTCATCAATCTCGACTTTACTAAAGCCTTCGACCGATTAGATCATCGCATCCTTCTTCATATGCTGCAAATGTACGGAATTGGGAACCCTGTCCTTGGATTGCTCGGCAATTTCCTTCTTTAGTGGCGGTTTCGGCTTCAGGGATAATTTTTTGATCATATTTATGTGCACTGAGATGTTTTACGCGGATCAGTGTGAGAACCGCGCTTATTCTTGGGCTTCATCAACGACCTCGCGCGTGTCATCTAGCCGAAAGTTCTGATTTTTGGCTGTGACATCAAAAGATGTTGGGCAATCGGTTGCCCGAAAGCTCCCGATACGCTGCAACGGGACTTAGCCAGTGCTTTTGAATGGTCAAAACCAAATCTACTTCCATTTAACACGGACAAGTGCAAAACCGTGCATGTCCGCCACAAGCCCACGCACACATATAAGCTTGGAGACTATATGCTGAACACGGCCTAAGAGAAGCGAGACCTTGGGATAGTTATGCAAGACGACCTCGGCTGTTCCGCACAGTCCTTAAGAGGTCCAAAACCGCAAACCAACATGTTGGTCTCGTACGGAGGGCCTTCAGGCGATTCGGCCTGTCCATCTTTTCCAAAATGATCGATGCGTACGTGAGGCCCCATGTGGAGTAAACGATTCAGGCCTGGCAACTCTGGTTAAAACGCGATCTGGTTGCACTGGATATCATACAGCAAAAGCTCCCAAAAATGCAAAGGGATTGTTCCACCTGCCATACCATTTGCGACTGAAAACTTTGGGAGCGTAGGGTGGGTTATCGCCGTCTACGGAGCGGCCTCATCCCGGGGTACCAGATCTTGCAAAAATCTTGTCACGGTTACCACCACCTCCTGAAACCCAGTCACAACACAAAATTGAGTGATCACCAGCATAAAATTGCCACCCAATACAGTAGGCTGGAATATCGCCAGAATTATTTTTCTCTTGTGATTTGTCCGCCATATAACGTTCTTTCGACCTTCGTCATTTCTGTGCACAAGCTACCCATTTTTATAAAACGAGAGAACGATGCATTACACCCCCTAGATTATTTGATTTGCTTTTTGTTCATTGAGTGAAGACATCAGCATCATCATCAACAGCAGTACATCAGCCATTCGAACTGATGCTTCGCTGCCATACAACCATGAGGACCTATGAAATAAAGAATAAGAAGAGGGAGAGAAGAGGGACTTACTTGAGAACCTTAATGCCCTAAGCAAACATTCAGGGTCAAGGTGCCTACACCTTGTGCAAACAACATACCGTCACAAACAGCTGACTATCGTGCAAAGATAAGGCGGCATCGGCAAGACAGCTTCCTTGTGACTTTCACTGCCACGCGTCATAATCAGCCATCACCCCGCAGATAACTCAGCACCAAACATACTTTAAACACGCAATCCGATTAGAAGACGGCAGCAGACGCGCCACTGGTGTCGGTTGCGAGCCGTGTCCTGGAAAGTCTCGAGCCAAGCACAAGACGAGTCACGTGGACCCCAACCCGGAAGGCGAGACGGACCAACGGCACCCAGTTTGGTTGTCAGTAACTTCATTTCCCACCATAAGTCAACTTTTGTCCACCTCGAGCCTTGCGCCATCCTACACCTGGTAGACTGAACAAGGCTCTCCTAGGTAAGCGGTGACCAGGCATGCGTAGCACGTGCATAAGCCAACGCAACTTATTCAGTGCTACCTGTTGTTCTAGGGTGCTAGCATGATTATCATTACCTAGTACTGGCCTACGCACATCATCGTTGCGGATACGCTGGTGCCATCCGACACCAGCAATGCTTCGCAGACAACGATGATCAAAGACTTGAAGGCGCCTCAGATCTTCAGACCGAAGGGGCCAAGTCTCACTACCATACAGCAGAACGGCCCTCACTGTGGCCTTGTATACCCAGCCTTTCAGACGGAGGGAAATTTCCTTCCGTCCCCAAAGATTCCGCAGGTTCGAGAAGGCAGCTCTGACCTTTGCACTGCGTGAGCTGACGTCAGTTTCTATGCGCCCATCATTGCTGATGCAGCTGCCAAGATAAGTGAAATGATCAACCACCTCGAGTTCCTCGTTAGCAAGCGTCAAGGGGTCATCAAGTGGCTGGTGGTCCTGCAGCAACACTTTGCACTTTGAAGGTGTGAAGTGCATACAAAATAATGGGACCACTCTGGACAGGCTATTCAGGGTTGATTGTGCCGCCGCAAAATGGTCGAAAAGCAAGACGATATCGTCCGCATAATCTAGGTCAACCAACAAGACGCAGATAAACATTGTGTTCAGCAATCCCTACGAAATCGGGGTAAACGGACATACATGCGTGTTAACGTAGATAATATGGTGGGTTTATAGATGCATGTTTAATTTCGTGTTACTTCTTTTTCTGAACTTACGTTATTCAAATGGGACCTAACGAACTTTGACTATTTTATCCGTATTATACCATTGTTTCGTTGTTATAGTTAAAGTGTGACTGTTAGCACACTTTGATCAAACATTGCAATGTTCATCCGGATAGATCAATGCACTAGTCCACCGTGGTTGGGTGACCCACACGCACGCACATACACACACAACTACCAATTAGCTTGTAGTGTACCTTTCACATTTTATTACATAACCTTCCGGTCAGCTGATAATATCGCCAGCTGTATCGACTATTCTTTCAAACACTTCATACATCGATCAACTTTCCTTTTGAATAGCCGGCTGACTCTAGACTACCTCGTGTACAACATCTGGGAGCTCCAAATATACATTTATGGGAATATACGTATTCAATCCCTTTTGGCATCCAAGAATGACGGTTATTAAACCAGGAACTCCGCAACCAAAAGGTGTTACCAAAATACGATAAGCCGTATTGAAGTAGTATAGTTTGCTACCTCTAAACTGGATTAAACTGATCTAATCGGGAAATCGTTAGCACCGTACCCGTAACTTAAGAACAGTTACAGTGTATCGAAAGAGTTGGTCTATTTACCAAGGACGTAAGAGGACTTGGATTCCAGTTTCAACGCGCGTATTCTCTCCAAGTTGTGTAGTTTAATGAGTGGTTTTGAAGCAAAAGGCTATGTCAAACTATTTATGCAAAATTACTCCGACCCCCTATCTTAGGGAACGCGGAATATCGCATAGGTTTCTCATGTGCTTAAGTGGCTGTTGAAAGGTATTGGGTAGGAAACAGTTTACCAAGGGATGGGTGTTGTGTGGCGACTATCAATCAGACGTACTATAATGTACACTTGCACGCATCAACATAGTATGCATTGTATGCTTACGGCACAAGTTTGTCCCGCATAGTGTCGACTTCACGTGCATAGTTCAGAATAACTGAGTGACTGCCAGATGTCATCATATCATCATATCATACTACACGTTAGCTGGAGGTGGGGAACACCTCAGCTACTGTGCCGCTGCCAGATGTCACACACCAGCAAACGAAAAACATCCTAAAACCTGCGAGTATGCAAGCAAAAATGTCACAAAAGGGCTTTAGTATTTACCTTGACATACATAAGAGGATGGGGTTTCACCCGGATGTACGCGAGCAGTGATGAACACAGTGCGTCTCTTCATGTCTGCATTGGAAGTGACATTTTTGGGATGCGTTATGGTAATCAAATCAACGCGGCGCTGTTGCTGCGTGTGGGGTTAAAAGAAAGCGGAACATGAAGATTGGTATTCCAACTGTGACGACACTGTCCGGATAGATTCAACTAAAATATTAGTGTAATATTTCAACCACGGTCATCCATTCAACTCGGATTATATATTGGTCCGAAAATTCAGCTTCAAAGTTAGAACTGAAGCACGAGCTCGTGCCAATATCCAGCGAAATCTTGGTACTATTAAGCGCTGACAATGTTTTCACCACCATTGGGTTCCCTCTATGGGGGAACGCGAAGCTTGATGAGCAAACACTTTTGGCCCACATATTGGCAGGCCAACGACATAGTTTAGCAGAAAAGTAATTGCGTGTGATGGAAAGGGGCAGAGTAAATCAATAAGATAAAAATGACTACTGGGCAGATGTTCCAGACGATACGCGTGCTGGTTTAATTTAGAAACAGATGGCACCAGCTCATGTGTAGGCAATATTTAGTGGATGTATGGGGAACGAAAGCAGAAGATGCTCGTTAACCGTAACTGTTGAGTAGTTGCCAGTGCCCAGTAAAGATGTTTTCCTATCATTGCAAGCGCAATGGCTCACAAGACGTCGGCGTAAAAAAAGGAGATCCAGAGTGAACTGCGATGCATCACACATACAGAATATTTGACGCAGATCAGAGGACATCAGACTGATTTTAATACCTGACTAAGTGGTCAAGACTGCACATCCCAGCAACAATTTGTGGTCTCAAGGAGCTCGTATCTGAGACGGTGGCATAGAAAGCTTGAGCACCATAGCGGTGTTCACATACAATCCAGTGAGGAATGCAGAGATGAATGACAAAAATGCGAAGACACGGGTTCACTAGTAGAATTGTCGTCCAAATAGAGCGATAATGCAAAACAGTTACCACCTAGGTTTAAGCTTTTGCATTTATAGGTATTGGCAAAACGTTGTATACCTCCTCCTATATCAGGTAAAAGAATGAACGTTCTAAGTAAGCACAACATCCAAACTGCAGGTAACTACTGGCCGGTGTGCAATATCCATTGTTAAGAATCACTTGATGTAAGTCAATTGCATTCCCATTTGTAGGGCATATTGATGCAATTCGTAAGCAGATAAGCCCCCTATTGCAGTGTGTGCAATCTATCCGCCTAGCAGACGTTGTAGGTGCATTTTTTGTACGGAACACAAGCATACCTCAACCATGCTTAGCATAAAAGAGTGTTAAAGTGATTATTATAGTCAGGCACTAAGTCCTCCCGTCCTCTTAATTAAAATACATTCAAGTCAGACATTCGCGAGCATCACAGTCATACTACCTCTAAATGCCCAAAAGTATTTTCTATCGAAAACAAGATTTATACTATTTTATTAAATTTAGAAATTTTTTCTGTTGATCATTTGAAAGACGCTAAGAAAAAGTTTAAAATGACCAGAGCTTGAAGACTGGCGAGACGTGCTACTTGGACCTTGTGAAGACCATCCAGGGAAAAATATAACAAATATTATGAAAAGTTAAAAAGTTAGAAGATACGAAACATTATCGGTGGTATTCTGAAGGAGTTTAGGTTGTTAAATGCCTAGTTAAAGCAACAGAAAGCTAGTCTCGAAATAAAAATAACCAATGCACGCCTAAAAGCAACCCAGATTTGACGTGACACGAGGTCAATAAAACAACTGTGAATAATTCCGAGACACATTTCGGTCATGACTGTTAGAAGGAACAGTCTGATAAATGTAAGATAATTACGGGGAACGTCACGGGAGTAAAAATTAAAATTTTCCACTGGACCTTATAAGGAATTCCAGAATGGTCAGACGTAACAGTTAAGAAAACACTAATCAATACGATACTGGCTTCATGACTGTGTCGCTTTGGAAGGTGTCTTTTCATAGATTTCACTATTTATGAAAAAGTGCCACTCTAACTCCAGTCGATTATCTCAACAAAATGGTTAATAAACTATCTGCGGACCACATTAAGCCCACTGTAATTGGTGATCAACCAAGTAACCGGCTAAAACTTACTACGCCTCACCTGTTTGTTCCGTCTGTTTGACTAAAAACCTAGTTGCCTAAACCTTCACCCAGACCTCAGTTGAAAGGCCACTACAACGGACAGCTTTCCACTCATGAAAACTTACATTGTCCACTATTTTAATGTAAGTAAAAATATTTATGAGCGTATATCCCATATATTAATAATAAAACCAACTTACAAGCCAGTTGCTTGTATGTTGTCTTTTGCACTTGTCAGGAGGCAACAAAATTCAGCAGAGTGGGGTTCCTTCTATCACAGATGATGGCAGGTGTCAGCGTAATGTTCACAGACCATATATTTCGTTAACCGATAGTATGCCATACTTGTGGGAGGGAACAAATCTCAAAAGATTGGCATGCTGTTTACAAACGCCGTATGGTGTCTATTACAGACTGGAGTGGGACAATAAACTGATAAGTATTTCACTGTGAAACTAAATCAAAAATCAGCTTTTTGACGGACGCTTCGCAACCTTAGCTTATAGATCGATGTATACCAGGAGGTAACAGGATGGAACAACTTGTTATTTTTAAACATTAATTAACAAAATATGTGGTAAAAGAAACGACACTTTTGCTTGTTTCGAAAGGAAATATCCTGAAAAGGAAACAATATGAGAAAAATGTATCTCGTGTCGTTGTATACAAACTGGACCTCAAGTACGATGGGAATACGATCCAGCTTCGTTGAACCGATGACGGATAAGCATCCATATTCCATCATGCCTCCGTGTCGTCTAGTACACATATATTTCAATAACAAACGCTGCCCTCACGGTTCAGGTGTACGCTCCTATTTAGCTCTAGGCACTATGAGAGTGAATTAATCCACGCAGGAGGGCGAAACATCACCACCTAGTTTCTATGTATTGACAGCACACAAGCCCATCGCCACAGCCCTAAGGGTAAATCAAACTATGCGGTTCTTATCGGCGCCAAAGAAGTGAACTTAACCCGCTTTCTATCGATTAGCCGTAGTCCGTATTGTGGATCATGTGAAAATATTGATTTTACATACACACATTACAAGAGCTACACCTCAGATTACGCGCTTGCGTAGGTCCTCCAGCTTTTTAAGAAGGAAAGTAAAGATCCGGTGACTACTTTACAAAATACGATTTATCGCGAGGTATTATTACAACCGTTAGCTTTCCGGATATCTTAAAACCTTAAATAATTAACTTCCAAGTGTGATCTCATTATTATCCAGTTAATGAACTGAAACAACCTTAGCAACTTTAGGAACGACGACAAATCGAGACGTTGAACATATACAAATCAAATATTGCATTGGATGTCAGGTTATATCAAAAGCTTCATCTTAGCTAAGGTATACAGCGGGGCAAAAATGTGTTGTACTGCTTGCTTTGCTGCCTTGTGGAACTGCGACTGCCTGACTGTTCAGTCACGCGCCGAGTCATCCATAGGAATACAAAAGGTCAGAAGTCGGTAGACAGAGAGCGTATATCTATGGGATAGCTCAGATCTATTTATTGGTAATGGAAACCTGCTAATTTAGGAGGTCAAGCTTACTCACACTTCTGCCCCTGGTTTTCAGCCAGTGTGAGTGAATTCCGCTCCATAAGATTACAATATTGACGGAACAGTACGATTCCGTTGACGCGCGCTTGTATTTGCTGGCCAGTCAATACGCACTGGGTTCCCAAATTCGGCGGAAAGATCAAAGGTTGTACCACATCCGTGCTGATGATCTTTGTATGTAGCAGACAGACTAGCGCTCCACTTGTACCTCTATTAAAAAGTAAAAGCAGGCGTTTTCGGTTGCTTCGCTTGGTCTCATGCATACCCCAGTTGGTAACTTCCCTTATATAACAACTACACCGTTTGTCTCACAACTGTCCGGGCAATTGCAGGACCGGCATCTGCCAGATCATCGTGTCTGACCACGTTACTCTGACCCCAAAGAGTCGCGCTTCACTCTAGTCAAGGACTGACACCGCACTTGGCGCTAAAGTAGGTGACCAACCAAAATAAGCGAGGAAATCGGAGAGTATCAAATTAAAACCGGTGAGTTTCGGCATTTGTGTTACCATTTCGAAGTACTAAACAGGATGCCTTCGGTTGTAGTTTGTCTATCGTAGTAATTCTTCGACGGAGGAGCACCACATTTAGTCCCATGCATATCCTGCAATCCAGGATTTTTCCTACATCTTTCTGAGTTTTTATAAGTGATCTTCGAGGTTAGCTTTGTCATCTGATTTCTTTTTTATGCTGGTGAGAAAACTAGCTGTTCATCCGAAAACAATTGACAACAAGCGTCAGGTAGCCAGCCATAAACCGAATACTGCTAAGCTCGGTGATCAAAATTTTTTAGATTCTCCTGACCAACATGCTAATTTGGTTGTAGGAGATGGCATGGACAATAGTAGGAACAGGCTAACGAGAGCTGCTAAAAAAGGAGCGCTGCTCCACTCCTGACAGCTGAAATTGCCACTAAAATCCACAGTCTATTAACCGAAAAGCTCAAAGAGGTCACTCAGGTACTGGATAAACTGACAGCAATATCATACTTAGTCCATTAAATTGAGGTTGCGTGTCGCAATCCAATTACACAACGTGTAATCCAAACTTGACCCTCCAATGAGGGTAATATTAGTTCTTTACAAACAGTTTTAACAGACGAATGCCTTTACAGTACTATTTAGGCTTCACAGAATGTTGATAGAAAAGTGAAAACCTGAGAATTCTTAGTCTCAAGAAAGAAGAGACAGAAATCATGAAAAGTGCTAATTCAGTATTCCAGATAACACGATTATTAACAAGCGGAGTTGCACACAACGAAACCTACCGCTACATCTTATTACGCCCGAGGGTGTCCTTATCGATACTCTTGCAGTTGAAGTTGTAACAATTATTTTGCCGATCCTTTTACTAATGAGAACGATGTACTTGGGATCACGCCACACAGTACTGTGGGCCATGTGTCTCTAACGTTGATTTCGACACTGGTTCAATCAAACGT